GCAGCTTCGCACTCGTGGGCTCGATGATCATCTGGGGGGCACAAAGGGGGGGGCAATGGGGACAGGGACCCCCCAGAGCAGAGTGTGACCCCCCCGTGGAGACAGGGACCCCCAAATGGGGACAGGGACCCTCCAGAGCAGAGTCTGACCCCCCCCTCAGGATGAAGGAACCCAGGAGGACCCAAAACGCCCCCAAACCACCCCAAATTGGGGCCCAAACGGGTGACAAACCCCCTGGGGACAGTGAGAGACCCCCCCAAGGTGGGGTGACCCCCCCACAAACCCGGGAGCCCCCCCAGCCCCTCCCCAAACCCCCCCACCCACCTGCCTGTAGTCCTTGAAGTACTTGTAGGTCCGTCGGAGGTGCCGGATCCCAAAGGGGTCTGTGGGACCCCCCGTGAGCCCCCCGTGTCCCCAGGGGGGGCACAGACCCCCCTGGGGGGAGAACACCCTCCCCTCCCCCCCCAGTCCAACCCAAAGCCCCCAGACCTGCCGGGGTCACACCGGGGTGTGAAAGGGGCCCCGATCGGTGACACTGAGGTGACAAACGGGGCCCTTGGGGGGTCCCCTCCCCCTGTGCCCCCCCGGGATGTCACCGGGGTGTCCCCCCCACCCCAGGAGTGCCCCCTGTCCCCCCCTTATCACCCCTGTCCCCCTGTGCCCCCCGGGATGTCACTGGGGGGTCCCCTTTTCCCCCCGTCCTCCCCCCCCTCCCCAAAATGTCCCCTCAGTGTCCCCCCCCATCACTCACCGCTGTCAAACTCATCCGGGATCTGTGGGGGGACATTTGGGGACGTTGGGGGGTCACAGGGGACACGTGGGGACGTTCTGGGGGGGTGACAGCGCCGAGGGGCCGCGGTGGCACCGAAGGGACAATTCACAGGGAGGTGCCACGTCCTGTCCCCTCCCGGGGGTCGTTGTCACCCCCCCACCCCCTTTGATGTCCCCGCGGGTCCCATTGTGCCCTCCCCCCTCCCCCATCCCAAATGGTCCCGGAAAAGGGGCTTTGGGGTGACAAAAGTAGCACTTCTGGGGACAAAACATCCCCTTTTGGGGACAGACCCCCCCCCCCGGGCCCCCCCTGTCCCCTCACCTTGGCCCCGTGTTCGTCCACGGCG